AGGCTGTTCATTGTTTCTTATAGTGCAGGAAGTGTTTCACAACACAGTGACGTTACTGGGAATATTATGAATAAATATATTTTTTATATGATGCGTAATTAAACTATAATATTCATTGTGTGAAGATTTTGTGGAAGCCAACATTTGAAAGGCTGCAGAAAGAAATGGGATAAAAAAGAGAACTCCATCCCTCCAGTTCCCAATTTGGGAAGTCTCTCCAATATGAATTTGTAGAAGCTATGACAATATATGAACAAGAGAAGTCCATACTTGTCTTTTTCCTATGATTTTCATTCCTCCAGGCATCCTCTGTCGGCCTCTGCTAAAGACCTTGTTCTAGACCCAGACCTAGAGCCTGGGATTGAGGCAGTCAACACGTTCACTGGCTTCTACTCAGAAAGAAGGATCTTCTATCCCCCATTTGTCCTTCTATTCCTTGACATGTAGCCCCTTCTCTGCTAATGTGCTTGGTGTTGACCTTGCACCAAGTAAATTTAAGTGTCTTGGTAGGAAACCACTCTTTTCTTTTTCTTTGCCAGGATCATTTCCTGTCACATTAGTGAGCTGAATCAGCCTGCAGAAAGAATGTCACCTCTGGATTTCACTACAGACAGCGTGTCACACGCTGCAGTGCCTAAGCTAATAGGAAATGCCAGCATGGGGAATGTGCCTTAAATGCAGTTCCTGCTGGAGCTCAGGCACTTATTTCTGGGAAATGAGAACTCAAAGCCTAAAAAAATGTGGTTTTTCTTTTTCTTTTTTCACTCAGGCAATCTGTTTTTTAGGGCAATCTCTTGCAAGAGCAGAGTCCTGGGAGGCTGCTCTGCGATTGTTTCACCATTATATCCAGTGACTGGGAAAAAGTCTGGGAACCAGTCCCCCAGGAGTGTGACCCTGTCAATGGTGCTACAGGCGGGCACATTTGTCTGTTCAATTGCTTCCATGAATCTGGTATTCCTGCTATATTTTTCTAAAATCATCAAGGAGAACACTGAATGGTCTCATCATGTTGTCCTAGTGATCACATCTCTTTCTGTAAATGCTAGTGCTGTTTCTTCAGTTCATCAGTGATTACTTTTCATGATCTAGGCATGACTAGCAAGTGGAACTATTTCAAGGAGGGAAAGGGACTGAAACAGCCATCAGACAAAGACATGGTTTCAGTGTGCAGAAGCATCTAGGGGCCTTTTGGCACCTCGGGCACCTAAATAGGGTTTTGCTTTGTAAAAATGTTTATGTTATGTGCTAAAACAGTGTTAGTAAATGTTGTTTTTCCATTTCTGTCCCAGTCCAAGTTTTTTGTTTTGTTTTTTTTTTTGTCACCTGAGTGTGGCTGGACAGCATCTAATCTAGCTGATACAAATAATGTTCCCAGGTCAAAGGACTAGGAGTCATGTCCATAAAGGCAAAAATAAAAAATGGATCCTTGCACAGCGTTGGGACCAAAGATATATCGTGATAAGAGAGGTGTCATCTCAGATATACAAAGATGCCAGCTGGCTTAAGTGTAATACTAAGGAGGTTAAGCTTGGTCTACTCAAYGGCTGCAAGTTCATAAACCAAGTAGGGCAGGTCCCTTTTTCTTGCAGCTGATGTCATATCTTTCGGATGCAGACTAGAGCTTAGCTCTGTTAAGTATCCTAATGGTTAAGTATCCTAAATATTCTTATGATTGGTCTTCATGATCTTGAAGGTCTTTTCCAATCATAATKATTCTGGGATTCTATGAAGCTCATGAATTATAGAAATGTATGCAGTTATCTCAAAGCTACTGTTTCTGCTGGAGAAAAATGAGACCTGGTTTATAAGGGAGTTTCTTGTATTACAGCTATTGATTTGTTGTGGGGGTGGGGAGGGGAATTAGATCACATTTGGACATTCAAGCGTTTCTTTAAGTAGAAGACATTAGCCCATTAAGGAGTAGTGGCAGACTGTGTGTGGGTTGGCAGGTCAGTTAGCTGTGAGAGTAGAAACTGAGAATGGAAAACGGAAATATCAGCATTGCTGCTTTGCTTCTTCCACAGTATCCACATGTTCTGCTCCTTCGTCAGGAGCCACAGACCATGCAATCTTTCAGCAGCCTCCACCAAAGATGTCCCATCTCTCATTGCTGCTKACTCTTCCCTGTGTAGCACTGTTCTTCTTAAGGCTGTTTCTACCAAATCCTGACCTGAAGCCTTCTAGCACTGCAGGCCATTGAAAACCCAGACTTTCTCTTCATTACTCTGATTTTGTGTTCCTCTGGCACAACACAAGGATTCACCGCCCACCGAGATAAGTGAGGGTGTTTGTACAGTAATGGCTCCTGTCACGTGTGATATTAGCACTTTGATAGCTATTAAGTAGGAAGCTCAATTTCAGAATAGAACAAAGCCTCTTTCCCAAGAGCTGTCTCTCTTTAATGTTACAAAACTTGGAAACRATGCCCTGAAAGATTCCTTGGAAAGCAGTTTGCATGGGATGGGGGAGTTGTGTAAGAATGCTGAAAACATAYGACTGGATCTTGAAATACTTGCTGCATCTTTGAGTCCAAAAATACAGCTCACCCACTGTCTTCAGGGCTTGAATTCCAGTGCTTCCAGTGTTCAAAGTTGCTATAATACAATGCTTTTCTTGTGAGAGTAACATTTGCAGAGAAGAATAAAGAGCGTGTTCATTCCCCGCCCACAGCGGGGAAGGATGCATTCACTGACAGACCGAAGACCTGCATTTACTTTGAGGTCATGTATTAAAAATCTGAAAGAAATCTGCTCTTCAAAGCTGTTTTTCCCCACCCCCTGCCCTTGTAAACTAAATTTACTCTCGTGCTGTTAATTCCTCCTTCCCCCGCAATCCTTCTTAACATGCCCTCAGTTCAAACAGTTTTATAGTAGTATGGAAGAAGCAGCTTTGACCCTTTTTTTTTTTTTTTTTTTTTTTTTTTTTTCTGAGGAGAAGGAACAGGACTTTTCTTCATTACTGCAATTATAGTTACCTTTCCAAGCTACCTAAATACAGTTGGCTGCTGCTTTGAAAAGTTTTATTGTTTGGTGTGCTGACATGATTATCATCTTTCCCACCTTTCATGTTACCATTTTCTATAAATTCTTGTGCTTGGAGGTTACCTAGAGAAATAAAAGAACAAAATGGCACAGTGCAAGACCTACTTGTGAACRATTTCATGTACGTGGTTCCTGGTGAGGTTTTCTGCAGGTTCTTCGAATTGACCTTAATAACTGTGCAGCGCCTGAAATGCACTTCGCTACAGAATGCCTCTCCTTGCTATATGGTGAAATAAGCAGTGCTGCACAGGAATACCTGCCTGTCAGATAGGCAAAGTGTTGCTGGAATAGTGGTTGTGCAGCACAAATGGTGGGGTTGCAGATCAGCGAGAACTATGGTGTGTGACTGCTGTGCCCCACAGCAGCTTTGGTGGGACACATTTGATCTGCACCAAAGCTCGGTCCTAACTCCTTTTATTGGAACGTGCTCTGGGTGATGAGGTGCAATGGAGCTCAGCTCTGCTGTGCTCTAACCCTGGGTGCTGCTTCCTTGTCATTTAAGAGGAAGAAACGGGAGAGAGAGCGGCTGTGCCACAGTTACTTAAGGCGAGAATTTTTATGTGCTGGAAGGGATGTGCTGGTGATTCTGCTGTGGTTTGTGTAATCTCGCTAGTTTCTGATTTCGGTGGGCAAGTCAGACAATCTGCTGCTGAATTTAGGAATAGTTAGTTGTAGGAGGAGTGCTTTTATGTGATTTGAGGTGCCTGTCTAAAAAGACAATAATGGACCTGAATACTCTTGGCATGAATTCAGAAGCCCTGTGCATTAGCTGAAAGTTGTAAGCTCATAATGCAAGCTTTAAATTGCTGTAGCTTTTTTTAGTGGGAGAGGCTTGATCCAGTTTTGTATCTGTTGAGGACATRTAGCACCTTTTAGGATAGTCTTTGTGGTTGGCATTGGAGACAGTCCTGCATTTTTTTTCCAGTCAATTRTCATCTTTTCACAGATTGAAACAGGAGTAGAATTACACCACTTTGACAGCCAGTGTTTTTTCATGACTTTTGAAATATCAGTGTCAATTACCCACACGGAGTAGAGCTGATTCTGGCAGAAAGAGCTTTTCAGAATAGCATCAGTTACTGCAATAAAGTAAATTGCATGTCCCGTCTTTGAGACAAGGTGAAAAATGCCTAAGTGAGTTGTAGTTGTGGCAGCAGCTCACACAGCGGTCTCTTGAGTCGGGCTGAGAGGATGAGATGACCTTGTCTCAGTTCAGAAATGCTTGTGAGATCTTTCTGAAACCAAATTGTGTAAATGTCATGGCTGTTTWCAAGGACACTAGAGGCAAAAGAAAAATGGAGGAGGGAAAGGAGAGGAAAGAGAGAAATGGATCAGTGTAAATAAAGCAGCAGCATTGATGGATCTCATTTTGATGGAAGCTAATTATGGAAAACTTACATTTCCTTATGACAGTATTTGGTGTGAATTATGATTTTATTCTCTTGCTTTAACTTGAGCATTTCTGTTTCTTTATGTTTTTCTAAGCTCTGCATCCCTCCTCTTGCCTATAAGGCCTTATTGATTCAACAGTCAKCTTTTCCTTCAACTTCTTACATCCTCCAATTTTTAGGATATAGGGCTTGTTGGCTTATATCTAGGCACCACTGAAAATAGAAAAAGAAATCCAGATACTGTTTTTTTTTTTTTTTCCCTTCCCATTTGGAATTTTAGAGCGTCAGCATCAATACAATAATGAAAGCCTTGTTGGGTTTCATTCCCCATCCYACCGGTCAATATAAGCCTTATCAATGTGATTTTGTTTGTTGTTAATGCTAGTGCATCATAGGGAATACACAACCACAGGCCGGGAGCAGAATGCAAACAAGCAGCAGCAAAAAAACAGCCACAGACAAACAGCATTTGTTAAGTCCCTGATGTCACCCCCTTTTTTTTTTTTTTTTTTGCATTCAAATTCTCAAAGGAGCAAGGAGCTGCAATATTGTTTTGCAGGCCCTAAAGCAGGAAACCAGCAGTGATGGACAAATGAAAGCATGTAGACTATTAAGGTAACTACAGCTTCTCCTTCTACTGTTGTACTTGATTCAGCATCTCAGTTTAAAAGACTGGAAATTTGCTTAGGGATCAAGCTTAATGAAGTCTGATTTGGGAAGCCATAACCATGTGTGCGATTACAAAGAGGAATAAATCATTGATAACGATTTTCTAAAAGCATGTGGAAAACATGAAAATGCCATCAGCTTTCCAAGAAATACTGTCTTGACAAAYGGAGAGAATTTGGTTGCTCCTAGAAAGTACCATGTTCTCTGTCATGGAGATCTGGGAYGAGGAAGCTGGGAGCAGTGGGAGGAAGCAGGTCAGTGCTGGTGCTGCTTCTGACCCTGAGGATCCTGGGCAGGAATCGAGGCAGAGGGACCAGGAAAGTCTGTCACTAGCACTGATCAGGTTGATGGTTGTCAACTAGGATTTGGTTTGTGAGCTTTTGGGATACATGAGAGGAAYTGGTGAATTTGGCAAGCCTATTTTCAGGATGCTCTAGTGTTGCCTTTACCTTCAGTAGGAAATGTTTATCAAAACTAGGGATTTAGAGCAATCATTAAGTTACTTTGTTTTGGGCCAATGTTTTCAGAGGTGGAGAGGTGCTTGCCATGTTTGCTGTTACAGATTAACAGATTTTCTGAGGTTCAAAGCAAGGGACTGTTTTGACATTGTTCCACAACCATCATGTGGAGAAGTATCAGAAGCCCCCCATTTTGTGTTTCCCACTGTAAAGAAGGACAGCCTTTTATGGTCGGGTATCAAACTGGGCAAAAACCTGCAGCTTTTGTATTTATCTTAATGTTGTTTATAGTTTTTGAACTCTCTCATTTCAAAAGGGAACCCCCCCCCCGCCCCCCCGGCTAATCTGTGAATGCAGAGATGGCAGCTTTTGACTTGACTGTTCATGATTTATTTGCTCTTTAAAATTCAGACATAGACATGTGTGTGATGATTTATTCCTCCTTGTAATTGGATACGGTGATTAGATGAGCTTGCATATTGTACTTCATTGTCCTTCTTGGATGGCGACTGCTRTGTCTTTAAAACAGCAGATCCTTGTGGAATTAATTCCAGCTCCTATATGTTTATTGTAACTGGTGATGTATTTCTAAGAATTGTTTTAGAAAATTGCTTTAAAATATATGTTCTTATACAGGAAGTGTTTAGCTAGCTGAAGAATTATACTCAGCAGAGTCGTTTTTAATGTGCAGTGCTGCTTTTGCTCATAGGCACTCGCCAGTGAAATAAATACATGTTCTGTAACTGGTAAGAGGCAGTAGTCAAGTATTATGTCTGCAGAAGTCCCTGGCCAGACTGTACCTATGGACAGGTGAGGCAGGTGGTTTAAGGCGAGAATCGTTACATATACAATTCATTATTTTCTGTAGAAGAGCTAGGAATGATATGGAAAGGGCACTGCTTCTTAGTCAGAAAAATACGGAAGAACATGTTTTCATGATTGGCCCTAATGGCCAGCTTCAATGAGCAATGTAGTTCAATAAAGCAACTTGCTTGCAGAAACAGATGCAGCAGGATATTGAATTTTCATTTTGTCTATATTTTATGGGCATTCAGAAATCAAAGTTTCTGTGGTTGGTACTCTGCAAACTGAGTAAGTGGCTTTGCCTCTGCCCCAAGGAACTTGCAGGGCACAAGACGCAGGAGCTCGGTGTAGCAGAGAGGGAAATGTGATGAGAATAGCAGCAACAGGAAGCCTTGTGAGCGAAACCGGGGTACATGGACATGGTGCAGAATTTTAAATAAGGAGAAAATCTTAGTGATGMTAGTAGTCTCAGTCCTTGAGAGTCCTTTTTAAAATTATTTTTATTAAAAGATAGAGGCAGCTTCATGTTCTATGACTTCATCTCTTCTGGCTGGGTTATTAATGTCTAAAAAGATAGCTGTGCTTGTACTGCAGTCTTTACTTCAAGGGGCCAGTGAATGACCTCTCCCTTTCGTCTACAGATACATTTGCTGCCATTACTTGAAGGAACGTAGTATCTTTGAGCATTTGCTTTAGAACAGATTCAGTGGTTAGAGGGATAAGGGAGAACAAGACAGAGAGCTGGACAGACAGCGCAGTTGCATAAGCTGTAGTCCTTTAAAGAACATGCTGAAGAAGATGATGTGTTAATGGTAACAGTGAGGATGCTGTAGAAAGTTTGCTGATTTTATACTATTTAAATTGAAAAAGATTTGGAAATCTGAAAGTGAGAGGTTATTTGCACTAAGACTGCTCTCTGAAACCCACGTTCAGGGTTTTGTCTCACTGGCAGGATGCCAAAGGTGCTGGGGTTTTCTGCATGGGAGGCTGCATGATGCAGTCACTGGAGCAGCCGCACAAGAGTGAAGATACCTGATTTGTAATCTCTGCTTGGCAGGTGCCTCCTGTGTGAGCTGGTACAGCCACTGAGCCCGCGTGTGCCTCACTTTCTCGGGAATGTGGAAAAACAGAGCACACACTTTTTGCCAGAGTTATTCTGGCATTTATGGCCAGAAAAGAGCTATAAAAATGAAGGATGGTGACGAGTGGTAGTCGTTGCTGGATGTTGTTATATATTACTGAAATATAGTCATAGACTAGATGAGCCAAGAGGTCCAGTTTAATAAAATACCTTATCTATTACTGCATTTTATGATTATTGTTTTTTTTCTCCTCTAAGCACTACAGCAGATTMATTTCTGCCTGTATAGAAAGGTATGATTTACATCTCAAGGTGATTCCTTCATGCCCTGCGAAAGTCTAAGAAACAGCTGGCAATATTCATGGAGTAATAAACCGAACAAATAATTTCTACGAGGTGCAGAGTGCATCTCTTGCATTAGATGCTTTAAAATGTATACATGAATGATAGAGTACTCCATAAGACTGAAAGAAGAAGAAGAAAAAAAAAGATCCAAAAGATGAAGCTGCAGTGTACCAGTCTAAGGTTATGCCTATTCCAGAGCTATATGTGAAGCATATTATTTTGTGACCCAATCAATAAACAGCACTAAAAATCTGAAATCATGGCAGAAGTGAATATACCTCTTTAGAAAATCACCCCACAGGGCTTTCATCCAGGAATTGCTTAATATCCCCATTTTATTCAAACAAAATAAGCAAGACCATCAAATAAAATCCCTGAGTAGTTGTGGAACAGCTAAATCACAAATCTAAGGCTGAATTCCCTCATAAATGCAAGCAGTTTGAAATTTATCAAAATAAAGGAGTTCTTTAAAAAGCATGACATTAAACTGCTCTGTGTTTGAAGGAGCCAAAGAGTCCTTGCACAGTAACACAGCTCTGCAGCTACAGGTATTTTAATATTTGCAGGCAGCTGAACTACAAATAATGTTTTTTCCCCTTGTGTCTTATCTTTGGATCATCTTTAAACAGTACAAGCAGAAATCTTTGTTATTTCTTTCATTATACTGTCAGTACAAGGTTGTACTGACAAACCCTATAGTTTGAAGTTGTTAGATGTTCTTAATATACCTACATGCTATGTGCAAGGCGGGTTTTTTTATTGCTTTTCCTGTTATAGTTGTCACTAAGAATAAGGAGAAAAACTGTTTTTAATTACATCTTACCAGTCATTGGAATGGTATGAATGTCTCAATGTATTGAGTACAATTTTAGTACAATTAAGGAGATATATCATGTATACAAGTATTGAATTAATGTGGCATTGTGGAGTTAAAACACATCCTTAAGGAAATGTGTCAGTTTATTTTTGGAGTCCATTCATCATTTAAGAGAAGCAAAATGCACTTGGCTTATGATCAACCTTTTGGGCGCCATCCGTAGCTGCGCTCCGAGTGCCCTTGTTCTGGTTTTATTCTGCAAAGCTGTGCTTTGCTACCTGCAGTGCAGGCAAAGGGAGGATATGGGACATTTCAGGTACAAGTACGGCCTCTTCTCCCAGGTACTGATAGTTCTTTGTACACATTTTGAATGCATTTATAGCAGCCTATTGCACGAGTTATTTAAACGGTGTTTGAGCAGTCTGTGGCCAGCAGGCTGGTCTGTTGTATACCCCAGGGAAAAATGCTGGAGATGATGTCCTGCAGGAATAAAACCTCCCTGCATTAAGACTGTCAGGTGTCATGCACCGACTGTAAGACTCACACAGCGTCCCTCCTCCTGCTCCTCCCTGCTGCCACCCCAAAAAAGCCTGTGCTGAGTTTGAGCCAGCTAGCACTTTTGCCTCCATGCATAGGAGATGTTGTCTAGGGGATTGCTGCTCTTGACCTAGGTGGTTGGCTGCACATGGGATGGGAATAAGGAGACTGTTAACACTGCCATGCCCAGGACATCAGAAATACCCTGTTGTTTGACTCGATGCACTGCTGTCTCACATGCTGGGAAAGGGGGGCAGTGAGTGGTCTGCCCATTAGTCAAATAATTCAGGGCATGTTATCACCATCATATGCAGAGTTTTGGATCAAACCCAACAGCTCATGCTCAGACAAAAATGCCATCGTTCGCTTTATGAACAATTTCGCCAGATCTAAAGAAGCTGGAAGCCTTCTGCCTATCGAGGCAGTAGCTTAAGGCTGCTGTGGTTGCTGAACATGCTGTAGTGCCACATGTTGTGGAGCSTGCCCTGCTTAGCATATTTATGATAATTTGAGTCCCACGGGCAGAGAATCTCCTCTTACATTTTCTTCCCCAGGCTGGAGCACAAAGAAGTTTTCTCCTGCTTCTTTGTAGGGGGGAAGTCATGGATCAAAGTTTCTTGCTAAGCACTTTTAAAAGTACACAAAATAGGTCTGTATGTTTCTGTTCCCTTAAGGGACTTATTCCTCCGGTATGCAGCAGATGATGGGAATAAGACTAGACATTGTATTCTAGTCCTTGCACCTGACTTGCAAACCTTTAAGGAYGGCATTTCCACATGTTTTGGCTTGTGCTTTACCCATGCTATGTACCAGACAAAATATATTCTTTTCACTGTACTATAGTTGTCATCACATTCAACTGACCTGGATAGTGTCCAAATAGATGGGATTTTGGAACCTGTCA